AAAGGTGTTGATATAACTTATATTCAATTCATTAAAGATATGTATATTAGAGCTGTTTCTTGTGTTCGAACTGAAGGGGGATTGACCAAATATTTTCCTATTTTTGTTGGATTACATCAGGGATCGACTTTAATCCCCTATCTTTTTGCTTTAATTATGGATGGTTTTACTGGATATTTACAGGAGGATGTACCTTGGTGTATGCTTTTTGTTGGCGATATCCTTCTCGTGGATAAGACGGGGGAAAAAGCTTAGGAAAAACTTGAATTATGGAGGTCTACATTGGAGTCTGAAGGCCTTCATTTGAGTAGAAATAAAACTGAATATATAGAATGTAATTTTAGTAGTAGTAGCTATAGTGACAGAAGTGTAACTTTGGGTGATCAAATTATTAGAAGGTGTGAACGATTTTGATATCTCGGGTCTGTTGTTCAAAGTGATGGTGATATGGATGGAGATGTTAATAGTAGAATTCAAGTTGGTTGGTCTACATTGGAGTCTGAAGGCCTTCATTTGAGTAGAACTAAAACTGAATATATGGAATGTAATTTTAGTAGTGGTAGCTCTAGTGACAAAAATGTAACTTTGGGTGATCAAATTATTAGAAGGTGTGAACGATTTAGATTTCTCGGGTCTTTTGTTCAAAGTGATGGTGATATGGATGGGGATGTTAACAGTAGAATTCAAGTTGGTTGGTTGAAGTGGAGGAATGATTCGAGCTTTTTTTGTGATTGAAAAGTACCACTTAAACTGAAATGAAAATTTTATAAGATGTGGTGAGACCTACAATGCTCTATGGTGCTGAATGTTGGCCTTTAAAAGAGAAGCGTAATTCTAAGTTAAGTGTTGCCGAGATGAGAATGATTAGGTGGATGAGTGGCTTTACACTTAGAGACAAAATGTGAAATGAATATATCCGTGATAGGGTTGGTGTAGTTCTGGTGAAAGACAAAATTAGAGAGAGTCGTTTTAGATGGTTTGGTCACATTAAACGTCGACAATTTGATTATCCAATCAGGAGTGTAGATGTTTTAGATTCAACTTGTGTTAAGAAAGGCAGAGGTAGAGCTAAGAAGTCTTGGGCTTGTTGTATAAAAAATGATCTTAATTTATTAGAACTAAATGAAAATATGACGCTAAATAGGACTCAGTGGAGAAAAAAGATTCATGTAGCCACCCTACGTTTTGTTTTTGTTGTTGTTGTTGCTGTTTTAAAAGTTATGAGGATTATATTTATTTTCTAATATAACTTTATTTCTTTTCCTATTTAAATTTATTTTTTTATATTGGATTTATTTCATGTTCTATTTTAGACTTTCTTATTTTATGTTATTTCCTTTATCTCAAAACAGTTAATATGAATTGATTAATTTGAGATATTGGGTGTTATATCTTTCATTTCCTGTTTTTTCTTTTTTATTGTCTTTCTTATTCTAGGATTCATGTCTAGGTCGCATATCAATAAAAATATTCTGTTTTATTCTAAATTTTAACATGGCATCAGAGATTTGAAACAAGCTCAGCGTCTCCTACTGCCGGAAACTTCCTATTCCCTGCAGTCGGCAATCTTTATCGTGGTGCAGGCCCTTTCTCCCACTCCTCTTTTCAGTTTTTCGAAGGGAAACTTTCTCTCCCTGCAGTCCCTAGCAATCAAAAATTCTCTCCGTGGGGTGGAAAACTTCCTGCAGGCTGCAAATCCCTGCAGGCTTCCTAACTGGAGTCATCTTCCTGCAGTCTTTTCGCCGCGTTCTAATCTCCTTCCTGTCAACGATGAAATTCCTCTACAAGAAGGAAGATAACAACAAGCACTTCCCTATAAATCTTCTTGTCCTTCTTAGCTGGGACATAACTCACTTCTTTCTCTTTCGATTTGCTTTTCTCTACAAGCTTGTCATCCAATGCTCTTCTACGAACTTCAAAAGTATGGCTCTTTGTATCTATCTTAATCGCATCCAACACTTCTGGTTTTAATGTCCGACCAGCTTTTTTAGTGACAGTCTACTCATGAGATGTGGCAAAAGAATGGGGAAAAACTCTGGTGCCAAGAAGCCATTAAAGAGGGACATAATGAACGACACATAACAAATGTTAGAAGATATGAGCAATCGATTTCTGATGCCTGTCAACTTGATTGGCCAAACAATAGGGATCTTGATCCAAGTTTTGGACGACTCAGATGATGAGAGAATCCATCTCTTAATTCAAGCTGAGGTTTCCAAATGGAATCAAAGAAGAATAAATATTATCTAAAAGCACTGTTTATTTCGATCGAGATTTATGGCAGGAAATCTCAAATCTGCCATGAGTTTGACTATGTCAAGAACTACAAGTTTGTGGCTATGTTTAATGCAACCAAGCCTAAAATTTCTTAAGAAAGCAATTCCTCACTTCATTAATGAAAATCCACATTTTTCTCTGGTTTAGGCAACATGGAGCTTTGCAAATAATGATGAGAACTTGTTAACTTGATTTCAATTTATAAATATGTGCTTCCATTTTGAAGTGGAGCAGCAAGTCAATGGGGTTTTCTTCAACCTTTTTGGGTTCAATGGAACCGCAGGTGTTTGGAGAATTAAGGTATTGAAGCACTGTGGAGACTGGCTTCACAGAACAACTGTCCAGGATATGTATATTGTTGTTCGTGCCCACTTGTGTGGATGGAATTTTATCTTGTTGAATGATTTCAGGGTGCTTCGCGAGGCTCCAGAATCATGAGGCTTACCATAAGCAACGACACAAATGAAATTCTGGTCATACCATGTAGCTTTCCCTGCAGATGTTCCTCCTTTTTACCTGCAGGCCTCCAAAGTTTTTCGTACACCGGATTTTTTTTTGCAGCAGGCCCTCCTCCGGATCCCTTTTCTGCAACAGACTCTCTGAAGCTTTTCCTGCAGCAGGCCCTCCTTTGGAGCCTTTTCAGAGCCTTTTCTGCAGTAGACCCTCCTCGGAGCCTTTCTGGAGCCTTTCGTACAGCGACCGTGCGACAGGCCCTCTGAAATTTTTTTTATAGCAAGCCCTCATTTGGAGCCTTTTCCTACAGCATGCCCCCTCAAAGGCTTTTTCCTTTTTCTTTTTTCTGTTGGTCATACCCTGCATCTTTTTCTAAAGATGGGCTACTTTCCTTTAAACTCCCCTGCAATATTACTTGTAGGAGCCTTCCGCCTACCTATAGAAATTGCAGGAACTGCAGTTAAAGACAAATACAGTCAAGTGGAAGTCAGTTTTTTCTGCAGGTTGTTTACTTCCCTACAAACTTCCTTGCAGAATTATCTGTAGGAGCCTTCTGCCTACCTAAAAATGCTGCAGGACCTACAATCAAAGAGAACCATTGTCAATTAGAAGTCAGCTTTTCGTACAAATTGTCTACTTCTCTACAAATTTCTTTGTAGTATTACCTGTAGGATTTTTTTGTCTACTTACAGACACTGTTGGAACTGCAGTCAAAGGCAACCGTAGTGCGGGATGAAGACTTCAAGTTCTACTTAACAGAATCTTCCTCGCCCATTGTTTGATGTTTCAAATCCAAATTGAACAAGATTTTTAATCATGTTTGAATCTAAGGGGGAGTGTTAGAAATTGTATTAGGAAATAATTTATTCCTGTTAGAAGTTATGATGATTAGATTTATTTACTAATATAATTATATTTCCTTTACTATTTTAGATTTATTTTCTTAGATTGGATTTATTTCTTTTCCTATTTTTGGCTTTCCTATTTTATGGTGTTACCTTTATCTTCAAATAGTTAATATAAATTGATTAAATGAGGATATTAGGTGTTATATTTTTCCTTTCATGTTATTTCTTTTTTATTGTCTTTCATATTCTAGGATTCATTTAAGGGTTATTTATACCCATTTTCATATCAATAAAAATATTCTGCATTACTCTTAATTTCAACAGAAATCATAATTTTTTCTCATTTCTATTCATTCTTTTCTTAGAAGAGGTCCCTAATGTTTTTGATATGTTCAACAATGTTTTCCTGCAGAGAAGACGAAAACAACATGGGTGGCCTTTCAACTCCTTCAATGTTTTAGGTTTAAGAGAGATTTTGCAAGTGCAGCGATGAAAATCAAATTTTGTTTCAATTTGGGAAAAGCTTTATTTTCCCGATGAAATAAATCCTTACGGATTCTTTTCGTGTTGTGTAGCTTACAACATGAACCTTGCTTTTGATTTTAATAACGGGCTCTCTCCTAGTGACACGGAAAAGTACAGACAAATCTAGGATAATTGAAAACTAGAGTGATTCTGTTATGAGTATAGTTGATATAATTTAGACTTGAAGATTTTTTAAAGGCAATTACGAGTGATACAAAAATGCAATGGAATGATAAACCTTTTTTTTAATATGTTTTCCTTTTTGGCTTCATAGCTATATTTTTTTATTCATCAATCTTATCTCAATTTTTTTGGTTTGACTTTATGAATTCCCTTTTTTGATTCATTCCTTATTTTTAATTCATTTCTTATAAGTGCTGCATGAGGTATTTTTGACTTTTTACACATTATTTGAATAATCTCTATCCATTTTAACTGTTAAAATTTGGACATGACTCATCGCATGCATAATTTTCTTTTTCTGAATTGTTAATATAAAACTTGCCTCAAAACATCTAATATCTGCATTTTATTTTAAAGTATCATAAAATTAAACATTATATGAATGTAACACATAAAAAGCTTAAGGACCAACAAAAAAATTTTTAGTTTAATTACCATTATATTTTCATATTTTATCAAGTTTATTTTATTTTCAACAATACACCAACATTAGCATTATTAATCATTAGGTAGTATTTTGTCAATATCAATGTTATATTGTTCACACACAATGCTAGAATAAATAAAGAGTCTATAATATTTTAAACATAAAAAACTAATTAACACATTAATCTACCACTAAATTATAATAATCACATTACTAAGAGATTTTCTCTCATTTTTTATGTTTATATTTACCCTTCTATTTATTGATCTGGGTACATGATGTATCAGATGTTTTTAGGGATCTCCTCCAACAAAGATACTGGAAAGGCTCTCTACCTTTATTGCACTGCTATTTCTTTTTTCGGTCAGATGAAAATGCAGAATCAATATTAGGCGTAAGTTATTTCTGAATTACATCATAACTTTGATCTTTTTTTTTTTTACGCTTTCATCCATTTAAAGCAGTCTGTTTGATTCTTCCATTATTTGAATAAATGCATTGCTTGGCCCTCAATTGCACTTTGTATTGCTGCTGTTTCATTTATAGTTTTGTTCTGCAAAGTAACCATCATTGGGCTAAGCAAGTATGTTGATGAAGTATTATAAACATTTCAAACATGTAAATTTCAATTCCACTTCATATATCATGTAAAATTGCCACTGTTTGTGGAATCTACTTGTTAGAAAATCCAAATTTGATACCTAAGTTGAGGATTTACTGGTCCAAATAGTCCACTTCATATATCATGTAAAATTGCCACTGTTTGTGGAATCTACTTGTTAGAAAATCCTAATTTGATAACTAAGTTGAGGATTTACTGGTTCAAATAGCCAAAACTGCTTTTCTATCTAGATTTAAAATTGCAATTTTAGTCGGAATTAAGTGAAGGTTAAAAATTTTGGTTCCTTCAAGCTGATGCACCTTTGTTTGATGGATTAGAATCCTAAACGCTTTCAGTGAGTTATGAATATTATGGGTCTTGTACTATCAAGAATATATAACTATTTTAATATAGATAATATTCAAGCATTGGCAAACTTTATGATCATTTATTTTGCCAATATTCTGGCATACAAAACCTCTTCTGGCCATACAATAGGTTGCAAGACAATTTATAAACGCCTGAACAAATAATGACTGCAATGGTTTTTTGCATAAATGTTTTTTTTTTTTGGCACAAATTCCAAAACTGCTGATGATTGTGGTAGGCTCTTCCTAAGCGCTGATGAAAATGGCCTGAAATCCTCTACAAAGGCGGGCAAAGAGGAGAGAAACTAGAACATAGAACACTCCTGTTAATGTACTGTCGGCGGGGAAAAAGGGGTGTTGGTTTAGGAGTGGAGTCGCCCGTGAAAAGCTGTCGGCTACCGGAATCGAAATTCCGTCGCCCGCCTCGGAAGGACGTTTTAATTTACATATAAATTTATGTTTAAAATCAAATATGAAAATCAAAATATGAAAATCAAACTGACCCATCATAGTTTAAATGAAAAAGCGCTTTACCTCAAACCCTGTATCTATCCCGAGAGATAATCACAAGACTTGAGGATGAGACTCGATCAGATAAACCAAGATATATATGACGTCCGTTTGATCTGCGAAACATTTTTATTTGCCGACAAATTCCCCTATTTAATATGAAAAATTAAATAGGGTATATTTTAAGCTGGGTTCGGAAAAACATCCTATAAGGGCAAGCTCCTATAATTAATTACATCTTAAGTGATCGAAATCATTTAAAAATACTCTCAATAAAAATCAGAAAAAATTATCTTTAAGGACTTCAAAAGGATATGACTTTTCAACAAAATCAGCCAAAGAGGTGTGCAAAAGGGAATGGTTCAAACTTGGGACATTTATTAAAGGATCCAAAGGAAGAAGAACTAGGGGATGTCACAGATCCAGAGGAGATCCTCAGTGATTTCCCAGTCTATCCTATGGTTTGACTTCAGTTTCGAGTAGAATTATTCAAGTGTTTTATCCTGCCAGTTTTATTTAATTAGGGCTTACACTCGTGTGAAACGATCACACAAATAACCTGAAAGATGTGAGGATTTAGGTCGTAACGAACAACAACCTCAGAATCCTAAAACGAGTTAGGGTTTAGATCGTACAACAGAGCCGTACGAATACCTAACGAAAATGTTGAGGATTTATGTTGCGCTAGGCGAACAACCTCGAAATCCTATGGATTGTTATTTTAAATTCTAAGAAAGGAATGATTTAGCTGGGGAAGACATGTTCTACTGTTGAAGATGGTCGTGCTGCCCACCGCGTTAACTCCAAGCTTCTTGTCGTGACTAGTTTAAGTTTTCTAGGGTGTCCAGTTATAATGTCAAATCAAACGATCCTATGGTAATAGTCCTCTAAACATTTTATATGGAAAGGAGGCATGCTTAAGGCTATGTAATATAAAATGTGCAGTACAGGGCAAGTAGTAGAAAACACAATAAAAGAAACAGTGTACATGCCATACATGACAGTAGCATGTATAGTAGAAGGAACAGTATAACATGCTATATAGAGTGGTGACAAGTACAGTAAAAGGAACAGTATAACATGCTTTACAGAATAGTAGCAGGTATAAACAGGAATAAAATAACTTGTTGTACAGGGTAGCAGCAGGTATAAACAAGAATAGTATAATATTCTGTAAATGTAAAACGAACCTGTACGCCCGTGGGATCCATTGTTTCTTAAATATAGCAAGCTGAAATATATTGCAAAAGTGAAGTCTGGAAGGAAAGCCATCCGGGAAATCCGAAAAAGAGTGTAACGACGACTCATGACCGAAAACTCGAGAAAATCAACGAGAAAAGACTCGAGTAAATATCTTCAAAAATCTCGGAGAAATCTTGAAGAAAAGAAAAGAAACACGAGTGCTTTGTCCAAAGCTTCGATAAAACAAAAAGTTCAAGTAAGGGGGACCACAAGCACTTGTGTAGGGCTAGGCTCAAATATATGCATATGTACTCGAGGGTCCACGAAGGCTACTCGGTCACCCGAATGTATAGATTCTGCCACTCGTCTAGAAGTGTGTCCTGAACCTCACCTAGAGGGCTACTTCCCAGCCTAAACAGGTATTCGTTAGGTGGACAATCAATTTTTAAAAATTTATTTTAAAATTTATGTTTTTTTTTTGACATGCACATAGGTTTTAAAAAAAAAAAAAGATTATTAAATTTCATTTTATAGCGAAAAATATTTTTTTATTTTTTTTTTGAAATAAGTTTTAACAATTTTTTTTTTTATTGTCCACTTATTGTCCACAAGTCAATTACGCTGTCGGGCATGAGACTGCCAACTATCTAAGGAGGTTCGAGTCAACTCCCGCTAGACTTATGTCGGTGAAAGATACCGTTATCATATTGTTCATCAAATACCTGGATCTTGATGTTATAAGATAGGGCATCTTCCCGCTCTATCTTCGGTGTGCCTTTATCATCACCACCCTACGCCTCAAAACAAACTACTTGCGATCTTGCTTGATGATTTCACGTATAGCAAAAGGCTATATGTGGACAATTATGCGTCGGACATAAGCATCGAAAACCGAAACAAGAAGTAAGGAAAGAAAAAAACAAAATGGGGTGAGAGAGAGGAGATATTGATCCATCTAAAACATCGAAAAGGAGAATAGATCAGTTCTCAAAAACTCCTATCGAAAAGACCTGTAAAAGTAGGGCCCAAAGTCTTTCTTAACCCAAAGTCTTTCTTAACAAACAAAAAATGCCACTTCGCGCTGATTTTTCAAACCCCAAAGACGTAGGATTAATTAAATCAACCAAATGCTCTCCCAAATAAAGCTTGCAAATCTTCCCAAACGCCCAAGTTGATATCAAAATCTTCCAACTTCCAAATTAATCCATAGCCTCACATATCAAATAAGCATAAAATCTTCCCATAAAACCAAATAAATGCTCATGACCGGGGCTACTACAAAGAGATGAACAACAGGTAAGGCTTTCGGCCAAAGCAACAAAATGATAGCTGCTAAAGCCCACGACCAAAGACTACCCAAGACACAACAAGTAAGACTCACGGCCGAAGCAACCCAAGACATAAGGAGCTCACGACTGAGGCAACCAAAAGAACCACCAGTGACTACTATATTCCTTCGGCATACATAAGAGGATAAATGAGATTTGTTGTTATTTTTTTTTTTTTTTTCTTGGGATGACAAACTTGATTCATCAATAACATTCAAGCCATTAAACCCAACGAGAAGGATTGAATCACACCAAACAAACTCCAATAAGTCTCACGAGTAAGGACTGTGAGGAGCAAATCTCAATGGTGAGTTCACGGGCAGGGCCAAGGGGGTGGCTAACTCAACCACATCACAAACCCACGGCTAGGGACCAAGCAAACATCAAACTGCAGCCTTATAAACTTCCAAACCGTAGGAGTTAAGGCCAACAGAAATCAGAACCCAAACCACCTCTCGGGTAGGGGCAGGACAAGGCAAAACCGAGCCACAACTAAGGGTCCCACCCACACAACAAGGACTAGACAACATCTCTATGCCTTCAAGACATCGAAATGTAGGATGACCATGTGTCTCAAACAAGAACAGCTATGGAAATCCAAATCCAAAATAAACTTTTCCACAATATGTATGATTAAGCCAAAGGACATTCACAAGATGCCAAAACCGAGCCCAGCAGGGGCCAAAGCAAATGAAACCAAACCCTCCCACAGCTATAGAGCAGGGGTAGGAATAAACACCAGAAACGGGCTCTCGGATAGGAGCTAAAGCAAGCAAACCGAGCCCCCAAACAGAGCCAAAAACAAACCCTTCACAGCTCATACGTGAAGTTTAAACAGTTAGTATGACGTTCTAACCAAAACCAAAAGCCTATCCTCAACAAAAATTAACATCCCATGCCCCTGCAATGAAAATCGAATGCCCACAAAGATCCCAAAACCGAGCCGTTCAAGGCCAAGACAAAGCCTGAGCATAGATTAAAATCCAATCTTTAGCAGAAATTAAAATTCCAGTCATTTCAAGATAAAACCGAACCATTCAAAGCCAAGGAACAGCTCACGAGCTTTTGAAATATCAAGATATAGAGCCAATATATGCCTTAAGCAAGAACAATAACATAGATAGTATATTTAGGCCCTCAACTTCAGTATTCCGAACATGAAACAACTTCCAACAGGTATTTAAATAAAAGGATGTTTTGCGAGGAGCTAGACCAATCCCTCAAAACAGGTTACAGAGCTTTCCAAATTAAATAAATATTCTCATAGCATGCATTTCGAGTAAGGGAAAGCCACAGGAAGCCAAAACTAAGCCCCAAACATGCATGAAAGGCCAAATAAACTCTCCAATATCTCATGCTAGATAAGAATGAATGAAAAACTTCATAATACATATCCCAACATACT